CAACTAGAAGTTGACTTTGTATCATCTCTCACCTTGAAAAAGATTCAAAGAATTTTCATAGATACATCACACCAAATGCTTTCAGTTTTGAGGAGTGAGAGAAGGAAACGATGGAATCGACTGCAATATCAGTTTCCTCCCGCTACTTCTTCTCCCTAAGATTGAACCTGAGCTCGATGAGTCCAGATTAGGAGGAGAAACCCTCTTGCTGTTGGGAGAGAGAGTCTTGATGTTAGCTTTAGGAGAGTGGATGATAATCTCAGGCATTTCTTCACCTCCATCCTCTGCTACTGTCTCGAATGACTTCTCATCCCGGGACTGAGTCAAAGTGATGTCTGGATTTCTTAAATATTGACTGTTAAATATCGCCGAGGAAGATCCACCTCCAAGAAGAGACTGTTGTGGTGGAGGCATCATGTTCTTAGATGATGAGAAAGGTAGTTGAACTAATTGTTGTCTGAAAACAAAAACAGATATACAGTTATTCAGGTGATATAGGCTCACATCAAAACTCTTTTAGAATTTGAGATTCTACCTGTAAATCGGCATTGGTGTCATCGGTAGAGCAGAACTCGCCTCCTTGTTCACTAATACCTCAGTGTTCTGGTGAGTTTGGGCTGTTCTGCTTCTCTCAATTGTTTCACTTTCCTCCTCTAGTTCGGCTTCCATGTCAGCAACGGAAGACCCTGAGATATTCATTAGACAGAATCAAGATCAGAAAGAGAAAGTGAGATTGTCAGTAACGAAAACTCGGAAGTAGAGGAAGCTAACCATCTTTGCGGCCGAATGCGTTCTTACATCCTTCACATCTACAGTTTATGGAACATCCCACACCACCCTTTAAAGAAACATCAGACCAAACTTTAGGAATCAGACCAAAGGAAGTTAACCACATCCATCAGAAGTACATTACGGATATAAAAACCTGATAGCATTCGCAGTATTTCTTCAGACAGTTTGATTTCTTGCAGTTGCAACCACGTTTATGGCGCGCAGAAGCTGGAGTTTTGCTTGCATCATCCTGTGTATCATCACAGTTTCATTATCTCTTACAAACAAATGGTTGAAAAAGTGGAATAAGAGGATGGGAGAAAAAAATCCTACCCCGGTTTCTTGAACCGAATCAGAGCTCCTAATGACTTTAGGAGCAAATGCAAGCGGATTCCGAGATTCAATCTGTTTGCGAGTAGCCAAGACTGTATCTTCATGAATAGGCTTGTTGAAACAATCTACACATGAACATGGCTCTATGCAATAGACTCCAGCAGCAAAGCATTCACAGTAACTACACACAAACATTCAAGAGACTCAAACACCAAACTATTTTAACAAGCGAAAGATCAAAGTAGTGGAACTTGAAGCTTACAGTTTCAAACACTTGGACTTTTTGCAGTTGCATCGCTTACATGACTCGCCTTCTCCAGCTTCCAATTTCAGCCTCTTCTTCTTAGGGCTGCTTAGATTCAACTCTGCTAAAGCTGGTTCTTCGAGAACATCTTCTAAAACTTGATCTGCATCTTCTCGGGTTTCGTTTTCTGTTTGGTCCAAAGATTCTTGCATTGTAGAGGTGGAGCCTTGTAAACCCACTTGTATCTTCCCAGAGTAATCATGAGTAACATTGGTTTTACAGTCCTTTGAGGACATTGCAATGGCATTTAGATGAAGACCAATACTCGGTACAACACATCTCGACGATGATTCAAAAGCCACCGTGGTGTTGTTCTCACTCAATGTTTGCTTATTTCCCGGCATCTCAAAGTCCAAGCATCGTCTTCTCATACCGCGGTGCAAGATTGAAGCAGCCTACCACACAAAACAAACACCAAGAAGACAACTCTTTCAGAGACAGTGATCAATTACAAGACACTGAAGATTGAGCTATTACTATTATTAAAGCTTACCTCATAAGGAATTGCATCCGAGGACTCCGGTTCATTGTTTGTCATTGCTTCGGATGTTGATGCTCTCTGCATCATAAGGCATCTAAAAGCCTCTGAATCATTAGGTGAACCGAAGATTAAAAGCTCAGAAGCATCTGAAATCAAACTTTCCCAATCCGGAGTTTGGTTTTTCCCCTGAACATTATCATACATCTTCTGCAACTCCATTCCTGCATCATCAGATGAACAATTCTCTCCTCGAGGAGGAGAGTATGGAACAAGCGAAAGATCGGTGGTATCTTCGCCACACGGTGAAGCAACGGGATCATCAGGAGCAACTTCAATTGAAGATTCATCTCTTGTAGAAGCATCTATGTTGAAATCTTTAGTAGTTTCTGCTACAGCCTGTTCGTTAGACGTAGAATCGGGTCGTGATTCGAGGGGATTGGTAAGGTGAGAAGAAGAGTGATGAGTTTTGAAGAATCTGGATTCTTTGTGAGAAGAAGTTAGGTGTGGTGAAGTGAAAACAGAAGGGGGGGAAGTGAAACTGAGAGAGCTAAATGGGTGAGGAATTGGGATTGATTTGACTGGTCTTATCGGAGACAAACTGTTTATGTAGTTGAATACTGGAGAATCCTGCATTTTCAGACAACAACAACAAAAGGAGCAAAGTTTATGA